ATGTCTCTCACACACAATACAACATATGCAAAAAAAACCAACAACCCCAAAACAAAAACAAAGCAAACAAAACTCCAGAGGTAACAAGAGAACGGGTGTCCCCCGACGGTCTACAACCCACCCACCCACCCACCGTCTCTTCTGGCGGCGACAAACACACACGACACACAGGCTAATACTAATATTCTTTTGATACAGGTGTTTTTACGCCTCCATTGACACAATAATTTCGAGGCAGCCAAACTTGTCTAAGACGTCTATCCACCGTCGAGAAGAAAAAGCGATTGTCTTAGACAATGCACGCCTTCCATAGCGTCGTTTTAAATGGTATGGTATATTATGTTAAACGCCCTTATCAACACAGTCTTTTAGGTTATTTAAGAGGCGGGACCTCCGAGTTTAACGTCAATCTCCGGAAGGACCGAGACAAACGGGAATTCGTGTAACGTGCATTTCCCAAGGACGCAACGTCGGACCGAGTTGAGGCTCGAACCACCGAACCCACAATCTCACGGTTACGAGTCCGGTAGCCTGACCACTAAACCATCGACAGAGCCGTTTTAAAGTTAATAGCAAAAACTTTATGCAGTTGTGAGCGCCTTAAAACCTTACTAAAACTAAACTTAAAAAGTTAATAACAAATACGCAGAGAAGAAATGGAAAATGGACGTTTGTACTGGTGATTGTCTTATACAGGTGGCTTTTCAAACAGGTTCGACTGTGTTTAGGAGGTGGGCTTCGACCCTGTCCGTCCGTGCCGGCCTAGGCTGAGAGGGAGGTTTAGTTTAGTTGTAGAAGAGGTTTTATGGTGGTCGCAACTGCATAAAGTCAAATGAACGCAGGTATTACAGAGAGCAACATCCCCCCAGGGCAGTGCCACTGACTGTAGTGTCTTTAGGCCATTCCCAAAGGGGGGACATTTCTCGTTCAAGCACAGTAGAATTGTAAATGGGCTGATTCATGTCACGCTCATAACTGTGCCTGATCTACAACAGGGAACTGCAGCTTTTTCTTTCCTAATCCTTACT